CCCCAAAACCCCAAAACCCCAAAACCCCAAAACCCCAAAACCCCTTAAGTCATTCTCCAAATTGATTCATACTATCTATTCAGACGATCTATTCAAAGTCACTAGCTCCTTTAATAATTCGGCTTATTCTGAGTCCAGATATACTTTTGCTATAACTTTTGTTGTCATTTCTCTTCCTGGGGTAGTATCCTCCGTAGAGCTCAAAAGAACTGCTTTTCTATAAATCTATGAATTATGGGATCTTACATCTTTCTTTCTATGTGGTCTGTTGTCTCACTTTCCATAATCTATGATATAATGATGAGTCTTACTTGAAATACTGTTCCTCTTCTTATGCATGTTCATATATAGTTCAGACTGCATCTTTTTGGAATCACCAATAACAGAGATTGCCTTTTGGAGGCTGTCAAGTCGACTGTTGTAGTCAGACAGATTTTCTGTACAATAATAAACAAATAATTACCTGTAATTCTGGGGATTTTAGGCATCAGTGAGATCTTAGAGTTATCTTTTAGCTCAAGATAACGCTTCATTGAAGACTTTTTGTCATTTTTGAGCTTGGAGAGCCGGAGAAGGTTCAGATCAGTCCTTTTATGACGTTGCTTGATAGGCTTTGAAGTGATATTCGGATTATTTTTAAGGGTATCAGGATTGGTGTAGTCCTTAGTGATGTCACCATAGTCTCTGTGAGTCATCTGGCGGTCGATTTTTAGTTTGGATAGTGAAGAGTTTCGGTTGTGTCCATCAGATCGAGTCGCTTTTATAGATGAAACAGCGAGGTATCTGTTTTGAGGGATCACCGGGTTTTCAACTAGACTTGAGCTCTGCATTGTTGATTGAGAAATCATTGTATCATTGTTTCTTGTTAGACTTACGCTGTTATTTTCTTTATGATACAATAAATTATCGTAACTTTCCACATGCTTATCTCTGTAGTTAGATTTAGGCAATTTCTCTTTTATTTGTTTTAACTTCCAGTTATTTTGAAAATCTTATAGTTCCAAGGAGGCTATCTTTCTTATCTAATTGATAAGTGTACTTCGCCACATATGATTCAAAGCCATTCTTTGGAAGAACTTCATCCATAATCTCCTGGCAGGAAGGCCTTAATGAAGGACTTCTTTTAACTAATCAACAGATAACTTTGAGCAAATTTTTGGAATAAACTTTAGGTATTGGAGCAAAGGTGCCCTTAGAAACTCTCTTGTAAAGCTCACTCATATTCTTGGCTTTGAAAGGAGGTTTGAGTGCAGCGATTTCATACAGAACTCATCCAAGCGACCATATATCACTTTTGAAATCATAAGGCTTCTCTTTCCACACTTCAGGGCTTGCATAATAAGGAGTTCCAGTTTGTGTATAGTTCATACCTAGTTGAGCAAGCTTTGAAACATTAAGATCACCTAGTTGTGCTCGTCCATCTTTGTTGAGGAACACATTTGCTGATTTAAGATCTCTATGCATTACATTCAACTGATGGATTCTGCTAAGACCACTGACTACTTGCACGAATATTGATAGAATGTCATCCTCTGGAATAAAGGAGCCGTCTATTTTTAGAACAGTAATTACTTTTATTTATGCTTCTGAATTTTCTCGAGCAAATCTCCGTTATCAGCATACTCCATGATTATTCTAAAATATTGAATAAGTCTCTTACCATAATGAAGAGCTAGGGTGATCTATGAAGACCTCTTTGTAGGATATAACGTTTGGGTGATTGATTGAGGCTAAGAAACGAACTTCATTAAGCGCATTCTCCTTCTCTTTATTTGAGAGACCACTCATTTTCACCTTCTTCAGGGCGTATTGCTTATCGTCTTCTATCCTCTGGACCTTGTAGACACTGCTATAAGAGCCTGAACCGATACGAGTAAGTTTTTCAAAATCGTTTAGAGACATTTATAAAGTTTATTAGTTTTCGAAGATAATATTCAATTTCTTTGGTAAAATTAGGGGTTTTGGGGTTTTGGGGTTTTGGGGTTTTGGGG